AGGAATTGCAAGAAAGTTGGCATCATCTGGATATGCTTTTTTTGCTATGGATTATCCAGGATGTGGTCTTTCTGAAGGTCTCCATGGCTATATCCCCAGCTTTGACAGGCTAGTTGACGATGTTATAGAACATTACTCCAAAGTCAAAGGTGAGTCAGCTGTTTTAAGCTTTCTGTAAAACTCTCATGTGTGTGGCAAAGTCTTGTCTTGAGAAGTACAGAAGAATCATTGATCTTATCAAGAGTATTAAACTCTTCACGTAGTTATTGCCATTTTTCATGTTTTAGTTGGTGTCCTTGGGATTTTATAGATATTGAAAGAATCTAAAATTGCTTTACTGGTATGAATTGGTCCGTGGAAGATCATGTTGTCAATGATGCGGGACAAAAAACATTTGAAGATAACGTAATAAGTTAAGAAGAAGGAAGCAAAGAAAGAGAAGAAGAAGAGAAGAATGGGGTTAGAAAAGTATGTAGCTTTGCAATTTTTATTCAATTATTCAACAATTGTCTAACATTTAGAAAAATAGAATATAAATACTAAAATCCTAACCTACTAAATAAAATACCCAACAATAAATAAATCAAGCCCAACAAATAAAGCCTAATTATCAAACCTCAAATAAAAGATTAAATAAATTAAATCAAAATATAAGCTAAAGCTTAACAGCATCTTGTATGATCATAAGAGTATGTAAACAATATTTCGGGTCCGGTGTTCTCACCAACTCTCTCAGGGTTATAAAAACTTGACCTTATCGAGTATAGTTCAAGATGGCTCCAATAAAGATAAGGATCAAACTGCTGTGATGTCTCATTGATACTCTAAATATAATTTGAATCTAGTCACCTAGCTCATATTTTGGGATTCATTGAATTTTACCATTCCTGGTAAAAATAATCCGAGCATCCAAAATAACATTAATATATTCCTTTTATGGCACTGATAAGGATAATGAGTTAGGGATATCAAAAAAGCATCAAAGATAGGTTGTAATTTATATATAATGAGGTTCTTTATGTCAAAAGCATAGCTAATATCAAAGTTTAATGACAATTTAATGACATAACTATATGATTCAATCATTTACAATACTTTGAATGGTCTAGCACTATTCACTTGAAATTTGTGATTAGTTTTCAAAGAACACCGTGCGGGTCTAATATGAAATAATCTTCAATATTAAGTGCATCATGATGCCCATGTAAATCAGTTAGAAATTTGTATTGTTCGATACTTGCTTGAATCAAACATTTTAGACTAAAGAGATAAAGGAGAAAGATCTACTGGCATTTTAGGTTTGTGATCATAAAACTGAAAGTGTGGAATGGAACACACTTTTTAAATCCTAGATGCATATAGATTGAACATAACCTAGTAAATTAAGATTATCCTTATCCTCCTTATCATGAATAAAGGGTAAAAGTTTAGGGAGCTATCAAGACTTATGACATGCTGAATGTCAAGTATCGAGGACAAAGTATTAGGGAGCTTAGGAGGTTTAAAATCTATGACATGCTGGATGCTGAGTATATGGGGTGAAGAATTAGGATGCTCAAGATCTATGACAAGTTGGATGTTAAGCATAGAGGTTGAGGAATTAAAGAACTTATAATAATAACTATCTTGAAACTTTTTCGACATTGCACTTCTTTAGGCAACTCCATTAGAGAGTCTTCAGAAACTTCTACAACTAAAGGAGACATTACTAACTCTTCATGAATCTCTTTTTTAAACTCTTTTGAACCTATTATGTTAGCCATATTTATCTCCTTAGGCAGTTTCACCAGAGAGTTTCTTGAAATTTATTTTACAGCCAAACCATATACAACATGTTCTTTAACCTTATTCTCAAACATATTTGGACCCATTGTATTAAGTCTTTGTCCGTTCACATTCTTTTTTTTCCTGGTCTTATTGCTAGGTCTTAGTGGTAATCCAATAAGTTTGATCTTTATACCTTAAAAAAAAACATGAGTTTGATCGACTAAAAATGATGACGTTTAAATTATATATTCATGGCCTACCCTAAAATCACAGCACACCAAATTTCATCATGATAGTCTAGGAATTTGATAGGGAACAAACATCTTTCATTGATTTCTATGGAGTTATTATTAACCCATGACACATTATATAGCTTAGAATGAGGAACAAGTTTTAGGCCTAAGCAAGTTATAAATTTGAAGATACAACATTGATATGACTTCTATTATAAATAATAATCTTGCAATCCTTATCCCTACACTTGTTTTTAATCTTCAATTCGCTCGGGTTGTGTCATGATATATTTAACTACACCTAATCCATTTGTTTCAAACTCTATAGTGTTTTGTTCATGATTGACACTAAAGATATTACTCAAGGTCAAATCCATAATAGTTGTAAATTTAAAGTTGGATACTGAATAACTATTTACAAAAACATGTAACACTAACTTAGAAATAGATTGAGATCACATAAGATTCCTGCAAGTGAAATCATGATACATAAATAAAACTAATTTCATTTTGTTTTGTTTTTTAATGTAGAGATTAATCAAAAACAAAATACACCAATAAAATTTAAAATATATATTGCTAGACCCTTAAGCATGACTGATTATCAAGAACAAAATACACTAATAAAATTTAAAACATATATCGCTAGACCCTTAAGCATGAATGATTAATCAAACATAGTATCACAAGTAAGGACTCAAAATTATAAAAAAGGACTAGATGCTAGATATCAATGATGAAGTGAGTTAATAAGCAAAAATATAAGGGGAATAAAATGCAAGATTGGAATTTTCTGTTATTTTTTTATCAATTAGAAAAGGCACTATTAACTACAACTTTGAATAACAAATGTAATACTAGTGAGAAAAATTCAAAGAATAAAAAAGTTGAGTGATTTACCAACCAAATTGCTTGGCGATAACGATGAACTACTTGGATTGATGTTGAATACAGGTAGAATTGCTGATGTTGCCCCAACTAGCTGTTGATATCACCTTTTGCTACTATAATTCCCTTTTTTTCCACTTCTCTTCACTTTTTTTTATTGTCACTTTTCACTATATTTTTTTCACTACTTTTTTTTTAATATATAAGATAAGATAAAAGAAAAACAAAATTACAAATAAAAATAATTAAAAACCTTGCTGATACAGTGTCCTCTCTAAATTAATCAATTGCTTACAAATTGCACTGCCACATTCCCAAAAAAGCCAAAGCTGATGCACTCTGATACGATCTGTTGCTTACGGTTTTAACGACTGCACATGGAAGTGGTGTGTTTATTTTTCTTGATGGCTGATGGACAGTGACTATCAAAACTGGTGGTTGATCTTCGGCTAGCAGCTTAGGATACTGATGTTTGGCCGATCCATGAATAATGTGGCTGGTGGTGTGTGGTGAAGGTGAAAAATGGCTAGCATTTGGGTCAAAGTGAGGGCATGTTTGGATTTTTTTTTGTGGTAAACAGAAGGCAAAAGACTTTTATGATGAAGGTTTCCCTCAAGATGTAGGGTTTATGAATGGTTTTTGAATTTGAGGATTTGAACAAGTCCATGAATTATTTTTAATTATGAGAACAATGAAAAAAAATACCAAAGTTTGGGACAAAAGAGATTTGAAGATGAAGTAATAAACTAAGAAGCGAAGCCAAATCAAGAGAAGAAAAGGCTGAAGAAGAGAAAGAATGAGGGTTGGAAAAGTTTGTAACTTTGCAATTTTATTCAATTCATCAACATAGTCTAACATTTAGAAAAATAGGATATAAATACTAAAATCCTAACTAGAACAAACAATTGGGTTTGATGCTCACTAAATAATAATAAAAAAAACAATTGGGTTTGATGCTCACTAAATAATAAAAAAAAACCCAACAATAATTAAATCAAGCCAACAAATAAAGTCTAATCCATTAACCTCAAATAAATGTTCAAATAAATTAAATCATAACATAAGTTAAAGCCCAATCTTTTAACTGTTTGGGCTACCCTTCATCTACTATGTTTTAGGTCTGGGGTCCCCACCAAGTAAGAAGCAAGATGTCATTCCTGTTGATTGAAACTGATCACTACATTCAACAAATCAATGCATATATATGCTTTATGAAAAGTGTAGCATTTTACTGTGATTCTCAAAACCATTTTTGCCATGTTGTGTCTCATTGAATTGCCCTGATTTTTTCGGGAGTTCAAATTTTGGGTTCCTCATGTGGAAGAGCTGACTGTTTATAACACTTGTCATCTGTCGAAAGGAGTTTTTCTATGTAATCAGAATTCAGATTTTAGTGTTTTGATCCAAAAGCATGGCTTGAGGCTGCTAGTTCAGCATCTACTGTTAGAGGTGGTTCTGCATGCATCCATTTTGTTTAACCTGGGGTTAGTTGCTTAAGCATTCATCTTTGTGTAGGCGCAGCTCTACAGTGATTATCTTATTCAGTAAATTCTCTGTTATTTGTTGTGAGTTTGAGACAAGTTATGCATAGTAGCGTGCTAAATATACTTTAAATTTGTTTGGGTACAGAAGTTCTAATATAGATCACTGATGTTTGCTAAATATACTTTAAATTTGTTTGGGTTTATTGTCACTGATGCTCTAATATATCCTTGTGCTGTGAATTTGCTTTTCTCAATGAGTTGCTTGTCTGCTCCTATATAGATAACATGTTCTTTCTTTGGCATGGATCGACAATGATGTCTTGGTACATCAAACATGTCCTATTACCTGGCTTGAAATTAATTATGTAAAACAAGGTAGAAAACCATAATATGGCAATCTCAGTTTTATATAATCTTTTAGTGCTAGTATCTGAAGGATCTTTTGTAGTGCCTTTCTAGTTATTAAAAATCCCGGAGGTGCATCCCCTAGTGTGAAAACTAATTTTACGTGAAAGAAAGGATAAGAACAGGCAACGACTATTATGTTGAATGGTAAGAACAGTATCCGCTTGCAGTTATTCCCCTTGTTCGAGCGTGATCTTATCCAGCCAAAGAAAAAGAAAAAACACCAAGATGAGACAATCCAGACTAATCAGATGGGAAATGACTGTTCAAAACTTGCTCTTGGCAAAAATGATTTCTCCTCTTCAATTTTGAATTTATTATCAAAATTGTTGATCTATACGCAAGCAATGATATGGATAAGCTGGATGTCATCCAAACAACAATGGAATCAAAATATGCTATGCTCTCACTTCAAATTTCTGATACTTTTGGATCGCAGAGAAGCCAGAGTTTCGTACTCTACCTAGCTTCCTATTTGGACAGTCGTTGGGTGGGGCTGTTGCTCTGAAGGTGCATTTAAAGCAACCCAATGCATGGAATGGTGCCATTCTTGTAGCTCCTATGTGCAAAGTATGTTTTCCCAACTTAGTTAGTTCCTGCTCTGCTTGGCTGTAGTTCCTTCGCCTGTTAATTCAAACACTTTTTGTAGATTGCGGACAACATGACTCCACCATGGTTAGTGACACAAATGTTGATCGGTGTGGCTAATTTTCTTCCAAAGCACAAGTTAGTTCCACAAAAGGATTTGGCTGAGGCTGCTTTTAGGGATCCAAATCACAGAAAACTGGTTTATTTCTTACTTGGATTACTTCTAAAACCATAAGCATTGCACATACTGTATTTTAGGCTTCTATATGATAATTGCTTGTAGGATGCTTAGTATTTTGTATCATGGACGTCCTTTCTTCTTCCCTAGCTATCTCCCCCTTTCCTTTTCATACAGCATCCTCTCATTGCTATATACTTCGGATGTTTTTGATCAGATAAATTTATGCCGAGTTTCCCCTTTCCTTTTCATACAGCATCCTCTCTATATACTTCGGATGTCTTTGATCAGATAAATTTATGCCGAGTCTTTTATTTATTCCTTGAATTGATCTTTTCATCTAATGCAGGCAGCCTATAATGTCATTGTATACAAGGACAAGCCTCGCTTGAAGACTGCACTAGAGATGCTCAGAACCACTCAAGAAATAGAACGTCGACTAGAAGAAGTATGCTGATTTCCTCTGCCCTTTTTTATTATGTCATGAAATTTAAACGCATGAGCCACTGTTTTATATTTGGTTTCATTGTATCTTCTCACTAGCATTATGGCGGCATGCTCAACCTCCCTTAACCCTCCCCACTTGTATTTCTGTTTATTGTTTTCATCAAGAACATTTTGAGGATGTGATCAGAGTAGACCTTGATAGCCTACCTGGGCGGACCTGACACCTGACGATTAGGAGTTGTTTGGGAAATATTAATGCCACATCACCTATGCAGTCTACAATTGTTAAAAATCCTCATGGATATTTCTCTGATAGTGTTCAGAATCTCTAACACTTAACTGGATAATGTTATGATTGCAGGTCTCTCTACCACTATTAATTCTTCATGGAGAGGCTGACACTGTAACTGATCCATCCGTGAGCAAGGCTTTGCATGAGAAAGCATGCTGCTCGGACAAGAAATTAAAGTTATACAAGGATGCTTATCATGCTCTCCTGGAAGGCGAGTCAGATGAAATGATAATCCAAGTTTTCAATGACATCATTTCTTGGCTTGATGAACGTAGCAGAGAAACTAATTCTTGCTGAGGGTATTGTCTTGGCCCTCGCGTTTGTTCACAAATAAGATAAGAGGGAGGGTGAGTATTTTCATTGTTTTAAGTGAGAATAAATAAATAAATAAATAAATAACAAAGGGCTGCCATTAAATTTGCGCAAAATCTCTATTGTATTAATTCTTTAACAAAGGGCTGCAATTATTAACCTTGTAAGTTTTGACATGTAGTTTATTATGAAAAACATTTTATCAATTGTCCCATCATTTAAATTTACTATGCATGTTCTATGAAATTTCTAAATTAAATTCATCATTATTAGCTCTACCAAAACGTCATGACAGTATAAGAATTGATATAAACCTAACATTTTAAATTGATCTTCTTAGACTTTGACTTCTTGTTGGAAAAACTAACATCTTTAATGGATCTTTCTAGGTAGACTTGTGGTTGCTGTCTCATCGGTCATTGTGATTCACGATCACCATTACTAAATCTGCCATGCATTCTTTAAGCTTTAACCAATTTTGATATGTAATTAACTTAGGTAACATCGAAGACAGATCCTTGCAGGTTCAATGCAGGCTTTTCAATGGCGGATCATCAACTTATTTGGAAGCTTTATGCAATACAGTGATTTAATTGAATGGCTTTTCTTTTCTTGAATGATGCTGTCTATAGATCTGATACAAATTCAAAAAAAAAAAAAAACCTCCAGCATCTGGTGCAGGTTACTTCTTATTTTGATATAACTTAGAGATCAATAATAGATCATTTTTCATATATAAAAACTAGATTTTGTCTTGATTGTTTTTAATTCGTTTTTAGTTTTATTTAATTGCTTTATTTATGTAGCTGAGGATCACCCATCTCAAGCTCTCTTTGATCCATTGAAAGACCGACCTTTTATATCAAATTAAAATATTTACAATAATTTTATTGTCATGGTCTTTAACTCTTCGTTGCTATGCCAAAACCCTTCAGACAATTTATTGAATGCTTTCGGTTCAACAAAATACATTTTCAAAATACAATTTCGTATGACTATAAACATCTGTATAAGAGATATGTGATTTTTTTAATTTTTTTATAATTATCTCATTTATAATATAATTTATAATAAAATAATATTTAGTATTGTGGTAATGGTTAATTTTAAATTTTTTTTCTTAAAATATATGAAAATAATATATTTTTTTTTTAAAATTTATTTTTAATATTAACATGTTAAAATAATTTAAAAATATTAAACACATATTAATTTTAATAAAATAATTTTAATTTCTTACAAAAATACAGCCCGGTTAACAAACCATATATATCTAATAGTTATAGCTTAAACGACATTAAATTTTTCACGTATACGTTGTGATTTTTTCATCCACCATTCCATTAACTCTAAGCTCTATTTCTTTCGTCCACGAATTTTCATTTGAACTCCAAAAACCAGTGCCACTTATGAGTTAAATCCACCCCAGGAATTCATCAGCGGCAAACACATGTATACATAATTTTTTATTTTGTAATGGTTAATGTTTAGAACAGCTTACATATAACTTGATTAATTCCTCAACATTCGAAAATTAAGAACCATAATCTTGAGATTTAATCTCTAAAAATTAAACTCAGGATATAATTAATTTAACTACCGAGGTTCACATGTATCTGTACATTTTTTTTTTCCTTACATGTATCTGTACTTGTTTGCATGAAATGTGGCTATCAAGCTAACCCAAGAAGGGAAAGAAACGAACTGACAAAAATAACTCTGTCCATCCAGTTCAGAAACAGCCCTCAAAGCAACAAAACGTGTACTCGAAGTGGACCATCATCCCATCATCAACCTTATCTCAAGATCAATCCCTGTTTCCCATTTTATTAGTGCTGAAAGTTAGGCCATAGCTGAAAGGTGTAGTGTGTAGTGTGTGTTATTCTCTGAGTGGGCATGGCAAACAACATACCTTCTTTTAACATTCTTTCTTTCTTGAGCAGCTGCCTGCCTGTCTGTTATCCATTTTCTCTCTAGTGGGGGTTCTAACCTAGTTTTAGGTAACTTTTAGTATTATTTGTAGCTAGTGTTAACAGAATGAAGAGGCCATTATTGTTGTTTAGCAGATTTTCTTGGCTTCAGTCATGGCCTTCTCTTCTTGCCTTTTCCATCCATTCTCACTCAAGGTATGGTCTTGTTGCCTCTTTCAATTCTGAGTGGCCTTACCACATGAATGGATGGCTTTTTGGGTGTGTTGTGAAGTATAATGATCATTGAATTGAACTGCAAGTGTTTGCATGGGGATCTTTTGACCGTGTTTATGTTGTTTCTTGATTTTACCTTCTTTTTTTTTTCAAGAAAAAAGGGGCAATTTTTCTGGTTTTGGATGGATTTCTCTTTGATTGGAAATCGAAAGTTTCCCTAGCTGGAATTATACTTGTTTCTCATTTGATTTTGTTGGCATATCAGACACTTGAGTTGTTATTACTAAGTTTACAGCAGCACATTGTTTAGCTCTCTCTATCTTGTGAACGAGCCAAAATTGTTGTCATGTTATGATGCTGGTAATATCAGAATACGATAAATTATTCATGACGCCTCTCAACTAGATTAAATGGGTTCAGATTGTATGAAATTTTCTGTCCCTCCAGTAGAAGTGTTGCATGCACTGAATTTGTGTTTGAATTGCCTCTAAGAGTGCGCCATGAAAGTGAAGTGCTCAGATTATGTTGACGAGCTCGAGGGTTTGTTTTTCTCAAGGTTTATTTTGATTTCTTGCAGAATGATTACTCGGCGAAGACTATAAGATCTCATCACATTGTTGGGAAAGATCGAAAGCTATTTTCTTCCCTCAGAAACAATAGCACCGAAATCTTTGGTAGACGGGTTGCAAGAGTGGGATCTGACTTGCATAGAGACTGGAGTTTTCTAGGAGGTTCAAGAATTGTCATCCATCCAAAACTTACTAATTTCCTCGTCTATCGAAAAAGCTCAGGAGTAAATGCATCATGTAATTCTTTGTTTTAGCAATTTGTCCTAGTTATTCAACGTATATGATGCTTATATTTCATGAGAAGTTTCGAGCATTTCTTTTCTTCCATTTTTTATTTGCTTATTTGGATTCTATATGATACATTGCTGAAGGTCTCCAATACAAAAATGCTTGAAGATTCGTCTAGTTTGTGTACATTTTAACTGTGCAAACTTTCTGCTTTTCTTTTCTTCTCCAGGATGAATTTGTGACTGCCTTTCCTTTTTCCAAAAAAAAAAAAAAGAGAAAGAGAGAAAGGAAGGAAGGAAGAGAAACAGAAATCTATTTTTTAAGAAATTATCTTATTGTAACTCATCTTTTCCCTCCCATTGTGCTTGGACTCTGTTCCTGCTCATTTTTTAATGTAACCTAATTTTAGCTCGACTCCCGCTGTTTTCTATGAAAAAAATTTCTGGTTATCAGGGTCAGATGCTTGAATTATGTGCTGCTTTAAGATGTTTGAGGTGGATTACTTGGTTTGAATTATTTAGAAAATATAGATAAGCTGTTGTCAAATGGTGATTTGGCTTATGACAGTCACCTTATAGAGCATCCCAATTCTTTAGCATTTTTGTTTTGTTTAGAATGGCTGACTGATCATGCCTGTAGTTGATCTCCTCTAGAATTAGTTGTTATCAGAGCCTCAGAAATGAGGGACTTTGTTGGTTCATAATTTATCACAAATACCAACGGGGACTTATGTCAGGTAGTAATAGTTTTGTATCTCCTCTTGGATAATTTCTGGGTAACGCATGAATAAAACCAGATTTTTCTGTCTGTTACTGCTAAGAGTCCACAACTTATTTCTTTTAAGTGCGGTGCTGCTAGCAACATCTATGAACTTTAAGTCTCTGTCTTGTAGATGTCATTTCTTATTATTTTCTTGCTTTATATTGTAGGGTTGACAAGTGCTCAGATCGCAAGCAGTGTTTTTACTTTGGGAACAGCGGCTGTTCTCCCATTTTACACGCTTATGGTTGTAGCTCCTAAAGCTGAAGTGGTATGCTTTCTGTGCTTGTCAGGGATGTCATATGTATGCTCTCCCTTATTTCTCTTTTAAGTCACATAGTATTTGTCCATAATGTATGAATATTCAACTTCCTTAATTTCACTGATTTTGCACAGAAATCTTATGTTTGACTTAGTTGTGGCTACAATTATATTCTGTTTTGAATCCTGATTTTTAAGATGTTGGGGTTTTTTATTCTTAAATCATGTACTCTTAATAAATATCGTCCACTATCAGTCACAACGCTTTTGTTGAATCTTTTTTCTTTTCTTGCAACAAGCACTTCTGATAAATTACAAGTCAAGGTTTTTTTTTATCTGGAGTTGCTGAATCCCGTTTTAACCTTTAAGTTCTGTCTGCATGCGATTTTCCTTGTAAGCTCGTTGATCACACGCCTTTTTTTCAAACAATCAACATAACTTGTTAAATTTGTTCACACTGCAGACTAGAAAGTCTATGGAAAGTAGCATTCCATATGTTGTCCTGGGACTTCTGTATGCATTTCTATTATACCTGTCTTGGACACCTGAGACAATACATTTGATTTTTGCGAGCAAATACTGGTTGCCAGAGGTATGAAATATCCATGTATTTAAAAAAAAAATGAAGCAGATGTGTGTTTGTTGTGAAAGGTTAATGGAAACTTATATCTGATTTCTACATGTAGCTGCCTGGTATAGCAAAGATTTTCTCCAGTGAGATGACATTAGCTTCAGCATGGATTCATTTGTTAGTTGTAGATCTATTTGCTGCAAGGTCGATCTCTTGATTCCCCCTCTCCTTCTTTCTGTTTTGCACTTCTAACACTTCTGCCATTGTGATTATCCAGGCAGTTGTTCGATGATGGACTAGAAAACGATGTTGAGACTCGGCATTCAGTTTCTCTTTGCCTGCTCTTTTGCCCGATTGGAATCGTAACTCATGTCATCACTAAAGCACTAACCAAAAGTGCCGGAACTAGTAGACATGGCATGTAATTCATGATTGACTGGTGCTGAAATGATCAAATCAATTTGTAGGGGGCTGGAAAAAAAATGGATTTCCCTATGTGAAAAAAATACTACGGATCAAATCAGCCTTTCATGAACTTGTTCTCTGCCAAACTTTCGTTTTCTTTTATCATCAAATATTACATGACTTGGTATTTGTCTCTACCGGGGATTAAGCTATCACAATATGGATGAAAATATATTATTTCTTCCTTAAGTTGCACCCCAAACTTTTGATCCATCTTCTCTTTAGCCAAAGCAATGAGGGCTAGCATGTCTTGATAAGTTGAACCACAAGCTTTTTTTAAGAAGTTTGAAATCATTGCTCCACCTGCTCTGAAACCTTTTTCTCAATCAACTCAGCTGCTGCAACTCCAAATTCAGATGGATTTGTAAACACCACCGAGCCAGCACTACACTCGTTTAGTGGTTGAGGTCTCCTCCTGCAAATGAAACCATGCTAAGCATCATTTATTAAGCAAATACAAAACACGACAATTTCTTGTCATGGCTGCCTATCAGAGTCTTCTTGTTTCCTTATTCTTGCTGTTCTTGAGCCCTGCAGTTGGAAAGTTACTGCAGCAATAGGTGCCTAGTCTTTCGCGTCTTGAAACGGAGTACACGGCAGTCGAACTTAAGATCAATCCTCTTTTAAGAGCCTGACACTTCCCTTCAGCTGTAACAATGTCAACAATTTCAATGGCACCAGCAATCTTCTTCGTTTGGCAAAAAAATAAAATAAAAATGTCAACCTCTTCAGTTACTTTCACAAAGGCATGAAAAAATAATTAAAGATTAGAGCTATGGAATTACCTGCCAAACAGCTCCAGTATTCATGCAAGCAGCTCCACCTACAGTCCTAGGAATTGCTCCTGCAAATTCAAGACCTGTAAAACCTTCGTTGCAACATTGTCGAATGAAACAAAATCCGCTTCCAACTCTATAAGCTTCATGCTCTATCTTGTCCAAGAACTCAAACCGATTCTATACAACACAACCATCAAACCCCAGATCGTCAAAGAGACAGATTGAACCTTTACCAATAATAAACTGTCTGATGGCATGCTGATGACAGTATCTGCGCTCTTCTAACCATTAAGAAATTATATACTGTTGCACGAGAAATAAAGATCATATGACAGTTGAGAGACAGAGATAAAGAAAAAGATCTAAGAGCAGAAGCAAGCTGATTATGGTAAAAAACTTCAACAAAGTAGTTACAAGGGCCACCATTGCCCAGGTGCTGAGATCCTTCAAGAGTTTCTTGCCACGAATGAATTTGATTCCACCCCATTCATGTGTTGGTTCTTGAATGTTGAAAGTGTTGCTGGTGTTGCATTGAAAAGGGACTGGGTTGGGGTTTCTTGGTGAGTGAAGCAGCTGGAGATGGGGACCGTGAAAGAGAGTGAAGGACATGGAAGGCATTTTGGACAAGTTAGAGCCTCGAGGATGCATTTCGAGTTATTTGGACAAGGAGTCCTTCTCAACAAGTGTCTTGCTGGAGCTTTGTGTCTTGCTACTTAGCTAAAAATCACGCTTGGTCCCTTTGTGATCAAATTCTCTTCTTTAAGTTCAGTCAAAATGACCTTCTATTCTATGGTGATTATTCTCTGACATGAGGAGGAGAGTACAACTCTGTGGATGTATTCAATAATTTCTTTGAATGATAAAGAAAAAACTAAGATCATGTTAAGTGTAATTATTCCATAACACACAGCATTTGTTTTGTTGTTTAATTGGTAATTAAACTGTACCTAATTTATTTGATCTAATAACTCAGTCGGCATTGTTATTCACACAATTCGACTATGAATATCCTTAGAACTGTCACCTGACTGACCCTCTAGGTCAGGCCAGATATTGCAATTATGCTTCAAACAAGATCAACAAAATTCATTCTCAGTTCATCTCTCATTGAAGGTTGTAAACTTGATTTTGAGTATCATATCGATCCATGTGGTGTAATTCAAGCCTACCGTATTGTCTGGATCATTTTGCAGATTTTCGAGCTTTTGTTACGTTACATTACAGGTAAAACTACCAGTGCTATGCTTCTTCCGGTACCATTTGAGGTGAAACACCGAAGATTCAAGCAAGCAGTGTATTGAATATTTTATCTTTCAATGCATTGAATAATTTACCTTGGCTGCAGGGTCGAGTTGTCTTTTTCAAAGGATGTATTCAATAATTTCTTTGAATGATACAGAAAAAAATTAATATCATGTTAAGTGTAATTATTCCATAATACATAGCATTTGTTCTGTTGTTTAATTGGTAATTAAACTGTTCCTACTTTATTTGATCTAATAACTCAGTCGGCATTGTTATTCACACAATTCGACTATGAATATCCTTAGAACTGTCACCTGACTGACCCTCTAGGTCAGGCCAGATATTGCAATTATGCTTCAAACAAGATCAACAAAATTCATTCTCAGTTCATCTCTCATTGAAGGTTGTAAACTTGATTTTGAGTATCATATCGATCCATGTGGTGTAATTCAAGCCTACCGTATTGTCTGGATCATTTTGCAGATTTTCGAGCTTTTGTTACGTTACATTACAGGTAAAACTACCAGTGCTATGCTTCTTCCGGTACCATTTGAGGTGAAACACCGAAGATTCAAGCAAGCAGTGTATTGAATATTTTATCTTTCAATGCATTGAATAATTTACCTTGGCTGCAGGGTCGAGTTGTCTTTTTCAAAGAATCAAGATGTTATTTGTCAATTAATCGGGATCATTAAGTAAATTTATGTTTTTATATAGAGTGAAATTATTTTGTCACCCTCGAAAGCTAAGAAAACAAACCTTTTATCCAGGAGCTTTTGTGTGTTTTTAACTTTATATGCACAGCTAACGTATAATGATACCATTAAAAGCTTAAAAGTTTCAGCCTTGTAAAGAGGAGATTTTTTGTCTGTTTATTTTTTTATATTAAAATAACATGTCTAGCCTTTGACTTTAAAGAATGTAAGTCTAGTAAGGATGGGTGTTTTTTTTTTTTGTCTTTACTACTTCTTTTTTTTTAATATTAGAATGTCCTAGAAGTTTTTCAGTAATTCAAATTATTAAAATATTAATAAATCAATATAAAAAACTGATAGATGTCACACATGTATTTATTGCCCCACCCCGGCAAATAAAGGACGTATTATCAAATATTGTGTCATTTGACATGTTAGGTGGCAACATAGTTGCTGGTGTGGTGTGTTCGGCCTGTTTTCTCTCTTCTATGCATTGCTTTCCGTGCCAAGCTTTTAAAATTTTATATGTGTCCACCGGTTTGCATTTGTTTTAAAATTAGTCTTTATTTTCTTGATTTCTTTTTGTTTTGATTTTTAAGACTTTCTGAATATTTTTTTATTTTTATTTTATCTTTCTGTATTTTATTTTATAAATTTTTTTCTGAATATTTTTTTATTTTTATTTTATATTTCTGTATTTTATTTTATAAATTTTTTATATTTAATTTATTTTTTATTTTTTTAATTGTTATTTTTTTCTTCTCTATATTATTATTTTTTATTTTATCCTTTAGAATTTAATTTAATTTCTAATTTTGATCCTTATTATTATTTTTATTACTCTTTTTTATCCTTTTCTTCATTTATTTTGTTTGTTAATTTAATTTCTAATTATTTTCTTTCAATTATTCTTTTGTACATGATTTAGTCCTTATTGTTTTTATTTTTTTACAATTGAAATTTTTATTTTTTATTTTTTCATGTTTGTCTTCTACGATCATAACCTAATTCATAAGTTTCAATGATTAACCCAGTTTAAATTTTTATAAAAAAATTATTTTTTTTCATTATTATTATTTTACATTGACTTATTTGGTCTTAAGGTTCATGATTTATTCTATTTTTTTATGAAGTTATTTCTCTCTCGTAATTGAATAGTGGGTTATTAAAATTAAGTTAGATTGGCTCGGGTTTTTTTTTGTTTGATAATTTGGTTTTTTTCCCTGCTTTGAGGGGGTTTTTCTTATTTTTTAAGAGTAACATGGATTTTCTCATTTTTTTTTATCTTTGTTGAATTTACCACTTTTAAAATATTTTTTAATTAGATTTAATTAATTTATTTTATCCTTATTGCCTTGTTTTTTATGCCCTTTATTAGATCTTTCTTTATTAACAATTTTTTTTTAATCAAAGTAATTTATCCCATCCTTTTACATTAAATTTGTTTTATATTAAGCTTTTTAGTTCAGCCTGTTTAAAATTTAATAGTTTATGACTTAAAAAATTAATTTGAGTCTAGAAGATTCACTCAAATTTGTTTGATTTTTTTTCTTCTTTTTAACTTACTTTTTTTTGGTTCCATTCTTAGATATTTTTTCATCTTTTTTTTTTAATTTCTATAAGATTTTCTATTAGTTTTGAAAAAAAAATATTATCTAGATCTTTTTATTTTTGCAGACTTTAAGGATTTTTGCTTTTGAACAAATATAAACATTTAATATTTTTCAACCTTTGTTCCAATTACTTTTAAGACCCAGGTCAATCTAAGTTTCAAATCTCTTAGGTCATGAGTCTACTTGTTAGGTCATGTATTTTGAATATAAATATATTTTTATTTTGATTATTATTCATTTGATTTTGAATATAAATATATTTTTATTTTGATCATTATTCACTTGATTTTTATTTTTGTTTTAAATTTTTTTTTGTGAATTTGTGAACTTTAAAATTTTTTAATTTTATCTTTCAATTCAATATTTGATGGTATGTTAGATTATAACCTTTAATATTTTGATTTTAAATTTTTATTCTTAGCACCTTCACCAAATTTTAATTTTTTTTATTTTATCATTGAATCCATTATTTTTCATTGTTTGGATTCATGTAGTTTCAATGTTTTTTCATTTTTTAATAGCGTGGAGCCGTTGTTTTTTCATTTTATTAAATACATTTATATTGCTTAATCATTATTTTTTCCAAAACAAAAAAATTAGACCGGTCGGCAGCAAAGCACGAATCTATCTAGTGGTAACCCATTGTAAAGCACAAGCTTCTTCACTGTTTGTAATGTGGTACCGTCACCAGTAGCATTGAGTCGTTAAGGGCTTCCATTTGTCCATTCTTTCTTCTCGAACAATTCCACGTCGTTAGGCTATTTTATTAATTTCATTTGTTTCAGGGCTGATTGAAACCTATTATAGAATCAGGTATTGCTAGATAAGTTAAATTGGTGACCGCCGATGTGGGATGTAACTTAGGGCTAAGTTAATGCGAAAATTAAAAAAAATGATGCTGTTTTATAGTTTTTTTTTTATTTAAAAGAAGAGCTTGTAGGATCCAAATCAACTTACTCGACTTGTATCCGAGATCCCGAATAAGCTTTATCCTGAATTGGATCTTTAACTATGAATTTGAAGAATTTTTAAAAAGAAATAGCAAGATTTTTTAATACTAACAAAATAACACAATTTAAAAAAAAAATTAGCAAAAAAACATAGTTTATGCATGAAACACAGTATTCAAGTTTATTGCTATTCACAATCATGTAATTTAAAAAAATATATATAAAATAGGTTGCATATGAAAAGAGAAAAAGAAAGAAAAAACTTAAAAATACATCAAAACTCAAATTATAACACAAGTGCTACCATAAAAAAATCTTGAAAAAATAAATTTAATAACACCAATAAATATCAGTAATAATGATTTAAGTGTATTAAATTTGTTTATGAAAAGATAGCAAACAACTCACTTGTTTTTGGTGTCAAGTATGGACTATTTGAGTGATGGCTTGGTGTTGTTATGATATTAGTAATATTATAATTAGAGTTTTGATATGCTTTTTTTTTTTTTCTCTCTTCTCTCTCCTTAAAAATTATAATGAAAATAGAAGAGTGAAAAAAAAAACCATGGAATTGCATAGAAATTCCAATTATAATACCATTAGTGCTATAAAAAAATATTGATAATGTAAATCTAACAACACCACTGAAGTTCAGCAAAAATAACTCTAATGAGTTATATTTGCTATAAAAAATAAATAAGTTATTTATTATTTTTGAATGGCAAATATGACACACTTAGTCATTATTAGTGATTTTTTTAATGTTATTGAATTTATTTCATTAAGATTTTTTTAATAGTAATAGTGATATCACAATTAAAGATTTAGTATGCTACCCAGAATTTTTTTTATGTGAAACTTATTTTTTATTTTTTTTAAATATAGTGATTCTAAATAGTAATACATTTGAAAGTCACATTTTTTGACTTATATAAATTGTGTTATTTTATTTTATTTTTTAATTATATTATTTTATCAATATTTAAAAAAAACCATGCTAAAAAAAACAATTGGATTTGAAGCGGTGAAAATGCTGGGATTACCACTTCAATGATGATTATAAGTCCAAAGTGAAAGCTTGCTGTGAGTATTAAATATTTAAAAATGCAATAATGTTTATATTTAAATGCATTTTAAGAAAAAAAATTAAAATTAAAAAATTAATATATTTTAAAATAAAAAATATTTTTAAAAATAATTTATCTATACAATGATGTCCGTGAGTTTCGTATTTCCCCGAAAAGGAAAAAAATCCCTTGAAGTCAAAGCTGATACCGAACAAGAGATTTTATTTCTACGTCTAAATTGTCTATGACCACACAAAATCATGTATTTCTTTTACTATATATTTTGTTTTTGTTTTTCATGAAGCGTACTGTACGTTCCTTTCATCGCCCTTTCGAACTACTTAGAAAAATCTCCCCCTTCTTCATCCTCATCAGTAACCCAGAACCATGGCCATGGCCTCGTTGTTGATCTCTTCTTCACCATCTTTTACTCTCCCTCCTAAAACTTACACAAAATATCAAACAGCTTACTTTTTAAAACCCTTTTCTCTCAAAGCTGCTTCCACATCTGTTGATCAACAACCCACAATCTCTTTAGCCGATAAACAGCCCTCCCCTTTTAAGGTAAGAGAAACCCTGTCCTGGTTTACAATTAGCTTCAAGAAATTGCTGGATTTTCGACTATGGATTCTTGTTGTTTGTTTTAGTTACATTCCTCTGAAAACACATTTTTCTTCATCTTTTTTCAGGCGAATAGCTGGCAATGGAAATTCCAGGACAAGATTTTAACTATCTATTATGAAGAACATGGGAAGGAAAGCCCTGAACCAACCAAGAACATTTTAATGCTGCCGAGTATTTCTGATGTTAGCACTGTTGAAGAATGGAGATCGGTAGCTGGGAACATTGTTCAACGAGCCAGTAAAATCAATTGGAGGGCTTTAATTGTTGACTGGCCTGGTTTGGGCTATTCCGATAGGCCTAAACTAGACTACAATGTTGATGTCATGGAGAAATTTCTGACAGACTTCTTAAGTGCTCCAGATGGTCCAATGAAGCACTTTGGTGAGTTGTGATTTTCTTTGATTATTGTTAGTAATATGGTGCTTTGCTCATACTTAAACACGAGTTTCTGCAATTAATTCAGGAAATGATTTAGTCATCTTTGGTGGAGGGCATGCACCCACAATTACTCTTTGTGCTGCAAAGAAGGGTTTGGTGAAGCTAGCAGCCATTGCTGCCGTTGCACCCACCTGGGCTGGTCCTCTTCCTATAGTGTTTGGTCGAGATTCCACCATGGAAATGAGGTATCACAAATTTCAGTGTAGCCTTTACTTGTAGCTTTTAATCAGGAAATGCTGTCAGCTGCTTCTCTGTATTCTGTTATAGTTCTAAAGACTATAAAACTGCTCTCCACACTTCACTGCTCATGTATGACTTGCCAGGTATGGGCTGCTAAGGGACACCTTAAGGACCCCAGGCGTTGGTTGGATGATGTATAACATGCTTGTAAGCAACGAGAAGGCAATTGCATCCCAGTACAAATCCCATGTCTATGCAAATCCTGACAATGTGACTCCTGATGTTGTTGATAGTAGAATTGCACTGACAAAACGAAAGGGAGCTCGTTATGCTCCTGCTTCTTTCCTGACAGGTCTCCTTGACCCAGTTAAATCCCAGGAGGAATTCCTTGAGCTCTTCGCAGATTTGGATGGAAAAGTACCGGTTCTTGTTGTGTCAACCGAAAGTTCTCCAAAGAGGTCAAAGGCAGTAATGCAAGCACTCAAAGGAGCCAAAGGGGTCAGTAAATTTGTTGAGGTTCCTGGCGCTCTTTTGCCACAGGAAGAGTATCCCACTATGATTGCAGAGGAGCTTTACCAATTTTTGCAAGAAAATTTTGAATTTAACATTTGATATCATAAAGGTCTTTAATCATATGAATACAAAATTGATGAAGTTTCAAGACGTATCAGACCCTCTACACTTGAGAAGAATTTGATACTCTTTTCAATCAATCTCTCACATGCTATTATTTCGTCTAACAAACAATGAGGAAAGTCAATCTGTGAGCGAGAACTGTTCAACATCTGGGCATCATTTATATACAAATCAATTCAATACAAAAATTCATCAGCCACTTGTTAGACAACAAAAGCAAGAATGTGAGATTACGGACGTTACGATTCCACTCATTCTTACCCAGTATTCTGTGAATGTTCACTGGCGTCGAAAAAGGAGATAAATATATAAGAAATGGTAATTGTCTCCTAACTGTAAACACTTGCTCTAGCCGTTGTGTACACGTGAAAAACTTGCAAAAGAAATACAGCATCCTTCAAGTAGGAAGTGGGGACATCTGACCTTGATCTTCCAACACCCCATCCAATGGATCAGATTGCTGAAAAGAACCCTTTTTACCACGCTCCAAAGCAGTTGCCTCGTAAATCCCTACAGCATGACACAAACGAGGAGACCATGAGGGGTGTTTATTTCTACCAATGAGCTAGTTTTTGTTCTTAATTGTATCTATGTTCAAATGGTTTGGTTAGTGGTAATAAAAATTAATGTGGCATGCTTTTCCTTTTCTTCTACTCCACTTTTTGAGGGAAACAATAAGCTTCTCGAATATGACATCTATCAAAATCTTTTACATATTCTATTCAGCTTATCCACCAGTCTGACCATAAAAAACAAAGGATTTGTTTCTTTATTGCAGACTCCGATAAATTATTTATGAATTGCAAGGAATTTCCCATAAACAATGAATGGAGAAACATAAATGAAAGACTTTTAAACATACCAAAGCCCAGTATCAAGGAACATATTATGAAGCCTGGAAGAGAAAAATCCATATTGTAGACAATTTCCATGACAATGATGCATCCTCCAGCTGCCATTAGGTGCCTTGGTGAAGAGAACACCATGTGCAGTCTGCAAACAAATATAGTTCTTTTGATCACAAGAGTGTTCGAAATAATTGTCAAACTTGCAACTTACATTTACTTGCAAACAACCAACGTCTACATAAATGTTCCATTGAGAAAATGAAAAATTCCACTTAATTCTTGAATTAAATACAAAAGACAACAGATTCCATAAAAGAAATCAGTGAGTGCATAGAAGACAGTCATGAACAAGCATAAGCATGATAGATAAAATTTATGTGTTAATAACAAAATGATCCCCTTTATTGATGCATTTAGGCCTCTGCACTAGTACAAGCAACTGTAATATAACTAAGTGGCCTCATCTTCAAGGACCTCAAGAAAATGAGAACCATCTTAAAATCTTATAGCAAAAATGCTCCAAGTGTATTTAGTAAATGTACCCTACCAAAGGTGGCTTGTAATTATGTCAAAGCTGAAGTAGTCAGCTATTGCATGCATTAAAACATATTTTAACAAACTAATTCAACAAAAGCTAGCCAAAACATGAGTATACTGAAAGGCTCAGCATCACTTGAGAATTGACCCAGAAAAAGGTACCTCTCCTCTGCAATACTGTCAACATAGAATATCAGGATAACTCCAAAAAGAGTAGTGCTGAGAAATGCCCAGGTTGAAAACGGCAGTTGTACACTGCTGCCAGAAGTTGATCCCTGAAGTACTCAAAAAATAAAAAATAAAAAGCAGAAATTTTAATCAGGCCAGAGCTCCATGGGGATTTAAATAAGAAATAATCTCCAAAGCTTGATACAGTAAAATTAAAAATGGGACCAAAACTTTCAGATTTATAACTTACAATGATGAAGTCCCACATGGCCACAGGAAAAAGAAAACATGTCGCAGAAGTAATGGTTATTGCATTAAGCCTCCTTTTAAGTTGATTCTGGCAACAAGGAATGGCCAGAATTAATATTAGAGTTTCACACAATGCCCAAAGGAAAAAGGCAGAGAGCTAATTAAGAGAACAAAGGTTAGCTGCAATCATTTGCCAACAGGATACCAAACAATAACGTAAATGGATGGATTTTAACACCTTGAGTGAAACACGGCGTGCAATAACCCTTCTTAAAGCGGATAAGATTCCAGCAAGAATTGGAACTACCATTTCTCCCATACCCAAAACTTCCTCTGTCTGATCCTCAGTAGTAGGACTATCTTTGAATGGTATTTCCCATTAAGACAAAACAAGCTTGAAGAACTTTCACAATAAGAATAGAAGGCACAAAAAGAAAAGAGGAAAAAAACCCAAACAAGGAAACTGATGCTAGTACATCACTAAACCTTATTACTACAAATTCAATGAGAAAAATTGGATCTACACAAGGATATTAAAGGGTGAATATGTGGCCATGGCCCACCCTTGAGACAAGAAGTAGAAAGACGCCAACATCGCAATGAGCCCACCAACCTGAAGAAAATGAGGAAGCACCCATTATCTTCTAGATCTTACACTGATTGCAATTAAATGATATAGTGCATGTGGCCATCGGATTGTCATAAAATTCAAAACCACAAGTTAAATGAAGATGCTACTGAGAAAGAAGAAGAGATGGAATACAATTAGTAGGATAAGGCATCCCCCAAGTTAGCACAACTCAGTTATCTAATCTCTCTGATGTCATAAAGATCTCCCTTGACAAGTTTATATTAATTGCATTTAGAATCCGACCATAATGAATCTCTCACCACTACAAGTTTGATGGGCTCTGTTCAAGCATACATGAATATAAAAGAACCACTGTAGCATCTATGTTATCAGCATCACATACTAGTTAATGACCTCTTTTTTTAAGTAACCAGTAGGAAATGATTTTGACTAGGAAAATGAGAAGCATGTCACTTAAAAACTGATGTGCTCAAAAGCAAAGAGACCATAACCTTTTTCCAGATATGGCCCCTCCGTCCATATAATGCAGCAGATAATACTCCCAGAACAGCACCAGAATACTCCGCCAAGATTGCTCTAGAGTCATAACAAAGAATTAATTTACTACAAGTCTATAACTACAAATAAGTAGAAGAATACACAGAAAAAGAAAAGGCAATCACAGAAAACAAAGAAAACAGAAGAATAGGGCACTATCCCTTCAAATTGGTATTAATAAGAGATTCTAGGTGCCAATTCCTTAGGCATCCTGGAATCTGTGAGCTAGAGACTTCTAAAAATTTGCATAAAATTATCCTCAAGTCCTATTTTAAAGAGATTGCATAAATATATACAAGTTTCAAGTAATTTTAGACCTAGAAATAAGCAAAACACCACTAGGTAGTGAAACTACAAAAAACTTTGGAAGAATGAACAGATTCACAACATATCAATTAAAGATAAATCCTGTAAGAAGACTCTTTACTACCTTGACAAGACAGGAGATAGTCCCAGGCAACCATAAATTAATCTTGGAGCATGTTTTAAAATGATTTGGCATTTTAAGCTTAATTTTTCAGAAGCCTCTTGTATCTTGTGCTCTATTCAAGCCAATTTACAAGTGTAAATACACCTACAATCATCAGTAAATAGTGGTCATTTCTCAAATTGCCAAAGTTGAATCTCCTAGAGGCCCCCCCACTGCGCATAGAAAAAGAACATTTACAATTGAACAAGCCACTTGAAACTCTAGAATACTAATTTCAGATTCTTCAAGTTGTACAATCATACCTAACTGGTCCACACGACTTAAGTCCCTTTCCCCACAAGATGAAGTATAAAGCTGTTATCACACCATTTATAACAGATGGAACTACCTGAGCAACAGTTAACACCATTTAAGAATCAGCTAGTGCATACTCCCACATCAATATCTGAAATGAAAAGGACACATTTCTAGTCATTCACCTGCTGATTAGAGAGTGCTCTCCCCTTCCAAGGCTTTTGCAAAGCTAAAAATAGGATTGACGATGGAATCAAACAACTGAATGTAAAAAGTACCACCGAAGCTCCAGTCTGAGACAAATAGCGGTACATCGAATAAACTGACCATATTCTCAAGAAGTTGCCAATAACATGGATGATCTGCAATGGAGTGTGCCTACGCCAACATACCAAAAACAAAATCATTGATACAAACCGCTTCCACCATATCAAGCACAAACACATTGAAAAAGAAAGCATAAAGCATAAACAAAACAGCTTGAGCACTCAATAAGTAATCAAACATGCTTCCATGTTAAACTTAAAACAACCCATTAGCCAGACAATTTCGCATCAATTTTCACGAAACCGAAACCGAAACCGAAACCGAAACCATCTCAGCCCCACCAGAAATGCACCAAAATCATATATTGCCGTCACTCCAATAAAATCCCATAATTCAAACCTAATACTGTTATTACTATCCTATAGATTTCCTTAAGTAAGCTCCAAACAGCTATCACAGCGCTAAATTAAGCACTTGTTACAACCATTACATTGTTCTTTATCCTCAAAATTACCTTAAAAACCCCAAACAAAACTGACTTTACAAGATTTCCCAATAAACCCACCTTAATAACAACCTCCAAAACTCAAAAAAACAAACAATCTTTCTTAGCAGTTTACACTAAAAAAAATCATTCAATCAAAACCAAAATAAAGAGGCAAAGAGAGACATCATCAGGGTTAGGGTTTTAGAGAGTGAAAGCGATTTTGCATACCTAAAATGAGGAGAAGATCCTACTCCTCGATCTTCACTAATTTGTCTTGGGGTCATCATTTTTAATCAAATTACTAGATAATGTGATCCAATGCCAACTTAATTTAACAGGGGAAAGAATCTGGGTGAATAGTGTTTTTCTTCTCGTCAGTGTTTTTCACAAAATAAATAAATAAATAAATAAATCCAAAGTTGAATCTGTCTCTACTCTCTTCTCCCGTCTTCACTCTTTGATTTCTTTCTCTTGAAGTTGAGAATTTTGGGCTCAACCAGCTGTTGGACTTTGACCTCTTCCTCTTCTTGGCCCACTTATAATAGGCCCAATAATTACTTAGGGCCTAAATCTTAGGGCATATAGCTACGGGAGGGAGGCTTTTCCTCAATGTAGGAACACCAAGATCAGACAGACATACACCACAACAAATGTGGACAATTGAAAAGGGCTCCGATGTATGGAGCACAAACATACCTTGGTAGTCACTCACTTCATTATCACTCTTTTTTGTTAAAGCACATTAAAAAATAAAAATTTAAGAGGCAACGCGAGTTCACTCTTCACCGTCATAACAAATAAAACCAAGTCTTATCAGTGTTTTGGTGTGGATTGTGCATGGTATAATTCACAATAAAACAATTAATAAATCCTTTAACTATAAGAAAAAATATAAATACACTTAGAGATAAAATTATATTTTTCATATATGTATTGCAATGCGACTGCTCTCATTTCCTTAAAAAAAAAACACATCTAATGTCAATGTGTGAGGAGTGTTTTTTATTTTTTATTTTTTTATATTATATAATTACCGCATATCATTTAGGGTCAACTTTTTTTACTTAAAGTCCATATGCATTTTAGGTTTTTTAATCTTGGTTTTTTTAAAATTATCTCATGAAATCAAGAGTGTTTTAATCGTTCTAAAATTAAAAAAAAAATGGTTGGTATGTGCAGAGCATTCACTAGCAAAGGTAAAACATCTGTATTCTTTAGACAATATGTGCGAAGCCTCTCGATTGTTGTTGGTAACCCTCTAAAACATCACGTTGCCCTCTACATGATGGGTCACATACGTGTTGCTCTCCATGACATAGAGGAGTTCTGACGATAATTTTTCTTCACCCTCCTCTTTTCTCTCTCATCCACCTCATAAGGTATGCTGGCTTTGCAAAATGGTCTTCAATCATTTACTTTATTAAATTTTATTTATTTATTTATCTTCTAGTATCATCTTTTAATATTTGATTTTTTTTTTATGTTTTTTATCAAATTTAATTTTCATTTTTTTTATTCCTATTTATTTGTTTTTAATCTTTTTTTAGTGGATTTTATTTTTCAATTTAATCCCTAATCATTTGATTTTAATTCTTCTTTTTTTAAGATTGATCGAGAGTAATTTAATATTTTTTGCATTTCAGAAGCATAGTGTAAAGACTATAACACTCTTGAAAACTAAAATTTTCAAACTTGCAACCATGAACATTTTGGTATTTTCAAATTGATTTTTAGCAATTAAAATTTTAATTTAAAGGTTATTTGATCTTTTTATAAATATAGATATTAACTTTTTGAACAAAAAGTAGATAGTGCATGACTTATACGTGTTAGTAGGTGGGTGACATCTACACCCTTTAAGCGTCACATAAGTTGATGTTCCATGTCTAAACACCACCTTCCACAACGGCTTTGAAAGTGTCTTATTATGATTTTTTTGGTAGTGTAACACAAGTATGTAAAGACACAATGGTTGAGTTCTTGCAGAACTATTTCTTCTCTTCCCTCTTTTTTTTCTTTTCTCTTGTCAAATATAAATATGTCATTTGTTTTGTTTTTTATTCAATTTGGTCTTTATTCTTTTGATTGTTATTTGTCTTTTTTATATTTTTTTAATTGATTTTTTACTTCAATGTTGTCCATCATCATCTGGTTTTGTTTTATTTTTATATCAACTTTGATATTCATTTTTTTTATCATTTTTTTAATTATTTTTTAATTGATTTTTTTTTTAAGTTTGTCCATCAACATTTAATTTATAGGAATTGGTCTTTATGGTTTTTTTTCTTTCACTTTCCTTTCCATGAGGTTATTTTGCCTATGGTAAGGAGTTAAATTGAGTTGATTTAGATCTTTTTTTTGTTTTTTTTTTAATTTCAACATTAAGTTATTTGATAATTGAGCTTTATAATTTTATTAAATTTGTTTTTGATACGATTATCTTAATACCACAATTCGGGTCTATTTTTTTTATCTTTTTTATATTTTTTTTTTTAGTTTATTAAAATCATTGCACTTTTTTATTTATATTATTTAAATTTATTAAATTCAGTCGAAACAATATCCGATTCTCAATATTATTTTTCTTTTTTAAAATGCTTGTGTTACCTTACCTTTATTATTTCATGTTCGAAAATTTTCGGCCAACGGCATAATGCGGGCCTATCTAATAGATGTATATCCCTACAATTGTCGTTTTATAGTCTGCCCTTGTTGACCTCTGAACTATACTGACTCTGGTTCAGCTAGCTTCAAGCAATTCAGATTTCTCCTTCTTATACATATTATTGATTTCGGTCATCTCATTATTCAGATTTTTTTTTTCTTAAAAAAAAGGCTGGTACTAGCTCCCATTACGATAATAATCACTTTATCTCAAGGTTCAGATCAATTTAAATTAATAAAAAAATAAAACATTAAAACAAGATTTGTTTGAAAAAATAATTAAAACAGTATTAAAATTAATAGATTTTAACTAGCTGAAGATTGAACTCATCAAATTAACCAAATTTAATTGGATTAATTCGGGATTGATTTATTTAGACTTAACCAGGATTAAATCAATTGAATCCTAATTTGATCCAGTGCTGGGTAGAACAGATTGAATTTAATAATAGTGATTATTATCATTATTTTGCTTCTTAATAGGAACAGTGTTGATACTATTTTATTCATCACCACTAGCCTTCACTAGAAACTGTCCCACCACTCCACTTCTGGTTTTGCACGCAGCATTAGCAAATTCGTAGAAATGGGGTTAATTACTGATGTTTGTTCTTTCACATCCGAGAGTAACTCTCACAAGAGGCATTGTGGGATTTCAAATCAGGAAACTTTGGGGATATGTTTATATCATCTTCTTGTCCCCTGGTATAATGCACCTTAAATTATTGATTTACAATACACCTTAAAATATTCATAAGAAATTATGACATGGACTCTTGGTCTTTGGAGACAGCACCTTTATCAACTATCAAGTCATCTTAGAATGGTATTCTGGGTCACGTTTTGGAGAAAGTAAATAAAGTAGACTCCTGATTATTTGGTTTGCTTTGTTGATCTACTTACATAGAGTGGAGATAAGATGTTTTATCTGCTGTTCCTGATTTCTTTAAACATATTTTTCTTCCCTGTTTGCTCTACGTTAGGTATGGGAGAGGTTGATGATCAATGCCACTGTGCTGATCCTTGTTCATTCGGCTCAGTGGACACGTTGTCGATTGCCTGTGTTCATCGTGCATGCACCAACAAAAAGCCAAGTGATGAAATTTTTTTCAAAAGGGAGTCAAAGAAAACAAGAGTATTTCAGATAGTAGAAGCTTTTAAGATTCTTAAGGTCATTTTCTTCCTTTAAGAAATCTGAGAACCCATGCTGCTCTATCTTCTTGTGAGCATGATATGGCCCATTCAAGCTGTCTTCTATCTTATATCTTTGGATGCAATGCATCTGTGAATTTATTCGCTTTCTTCAGTGCCATAAAATTATTCTACAACTTTTTCATTACACGCATCCAAGTCTATCAATTGGCAACATCTATGAGATTTTGCTCATCCATATGCTTGTAGGACCTATAATTCTGATAATCCGTTGCCTTGTCTGTGTCCATTTATCGTTATTGTTGTGTGTCACAAAAGTCTATTGTATGATTCTGTTCTGTTTGAAGTCTGCTTGTCCCTTCAACGCAAACCGCGCTTTTCATCCGATAGAAACTCATCGATAATGCAAGAAAACAGTGCTTAAGGTCTGGTAATTATCCAAATAACACGTGTGTTTTCCTTCAAATATTTATCTAATACATAATCTCTCTTTTTTCGGTTTTTAACGAGGGTATCTCCAGCCCTATTAGGCCAGAGACTAATGGCCGGGAGTGCGAAGGTTATGCCCTCCCAACAAATATCGAACTTGTGCTCTCACTTTATCCCGGGTAGAGGCCGCTATATGTTGCCATAATTTCAATGTTATTGAGCCTTGATGATGAAGCAATTGATTATATGGCGATGCATTTCCGATCGATTAGCTTTTGAACTATTGTTGTTTGCATAATGCATGCAACTATGATTGTTGCTTGGTTAAAAAGTATGTTGGAGGGCAATGGCATGACAGAAACCTGCCACCTAAAAGAACAAACACCAGAGAGCTAACAAGAGAATTATGGAACATTGCTTGTAAAGTATATTTATTACATTGGACCTATCTTTGAATCATCTCTAGCTACTTGGAATTGTTTTTATCTCAAGGATTTTGATCATCATAGCAGGTTTTGCTTTAGCTACTCGTAATTTGTGGATAAGATTGATTTATGTAGGTGGTGGTCAAGGGGAAGTCTACTTGATCTGATCCATAGGGAAATTACGTTCACATGTTTCTCTGTAAGTATGATTGCGATCGTGAATTTGCCTGCATATCCCTGGTATATGGTAGGAGTATAGAGATTGCATTTCTGATATGCATGTTCCCTTAAGATCATTAATTAGATTCTGTTGACAGGTGCAAAATGCTCTCTTTCTCTTCTTGTTTCTTTGTCTCTTGCACACCAAGAGAATCATGAACCACATGAAAGTGTCTGGTTAAAGGGTGTGACAGACTCGCCAACTGGCCCAAATTCCAAATTTCAAATCATAAAGTGGGTTCATGTATAATTTTGTCACAGAATGGACAATGAATAAACAAGCAATACATAAAGCCAAGAGAACCTCCTGAATCAAATTGATGCTTAACTGCTCATGCCGACAGGGCCTATCAATACATAGGATGTTACACGCCACAGATCACTAAAGAAAGTCAAATTTGATATATTAAAAAAAAATAAGAAGAAAAATCAGCCCCCAAATTGGACAAGTAAATAGCAACATAATCTTCTTTTTTTGTACTTTATTTCTAGACATTTTTTGTGAAGTAATGCAAATATCTTTAGCATGTCTGCCACATAAATACAGATATATTTGATTTATGGCAAAGGATGATAGCTAGGGAGCATATCCATGTGCTTTATAGCGACAAAGAGTAATTGCCAAAAATGCAGTCAAATGGACCATGCAGAGTGGAAGCAAGTGATTTCTCCATATCTTTCTCTCAACCATTTCTGTGTCTTCTGTGCTTCAGTTGAGTCTGTTCCCTGCACAATTAACATTCCAGCTTCAGTCATTTTATACATGCACCCAGCCTTTCAGGTCACCATAGTTAGAGATACATTGTAGACTTATTTGAGATGGAATTTGCAGCACATAGTGACAAGATTATCTAATCAACTGCAGGTTAACATATTAATACATTGGGTAAAAATAAATAAATAAGGCAGCCTCCTAGCTACTCAAGATTCAAGAAGTTATTGTAAGAGCACCTGAGCCCTCTTTGAAGATTCTGTTACATTGTTCAGGTCATTAGAACTACTTGCAGCTGCAAGCTCCATGGAAAGAAACTGAATTTTGACAGAACAAGGTTAATCAAAACATGTTGGGGCATGGAATTATAAGATGAAACTGTAGAAATATTAGTACAGATTCTGTCGTCGGAAATTACCTCAACTTGATTCTGCAATGAATGTACATAATTGATTATCTCCTCTAGCATAACTGCCATCCCCATTGACTGTACATTCATGGAATCATATCAGCTAATGCAAACTCATGATCAGTTGGTCAAAGCTCTAATAATATTAAATTTTATTTAGAAGTCTAGATTAGATGGGCCTGTATAATCTAAAACCAGATCTTCATTATTCAATCTAAATGAATCCATAATATATTATTGAAAAGTTATTAAGAAATTAAACCTTTCTGAAACTATTTTTTTATATCTAAAAGTCTATTGAAATATCAGCTAATGTTGGAAGAATGATATTCAAAATCTGTTCTTGTTTCTTCTTCTTTTTTATTTGTATTTTCCAAGGGCTTATAAGAAGCTTGGTATTTATGTGCTTATTAAATGTGATATTCCAACATCCCTTCACGTAAAATTATTAGGTAACACTTCAAGATATAATTTATATTATTTTTTAACACTTGTGATTTTAATCAACTAATTTAAACTTACTTAAACTTCAACTCCAAATATGCAGGAGTACATGTTTTTATGAGTTATTCAATATTAATTATAATCAAAATTAAACTTGTGCAAAGGTTCTTACCCTGTGGCATCCAGGAACAAGGTCTTGCAAGCACCTTAACTTGTTATTGATTTTCTCTCTTCTTACCTGAGACAAAAAATAGAAACATTTACAGTCAGAGTCTTCAGTTCATGACTTTTATTGGTCCATTCCTGTTCTTACCTGTTAGAAGAAACAGTAAGCCTAACCAATGGTTACAATGAGGCTTTATTGACGAAGCAAAATCTATTCAGTCAAAAACATATAAATTTACCCTTTCTGCTATACTGTGACTGTCTGTTTCTTGGCCTCTCTTAGCTCTAACATGAATAACTTCCTCTGCTTTGTCCCCTTCTTTCTCTTTGTTTTCACCTTTCTTACTTCCTCCTAGGTTCTAAAAACACCAAGAAAAGATACCACTCAACTTTATGTTAACCGAAGGCTTAAAAGCTGAAATTAGAAAACAAATGGTAGAAACTTCAAGAAACAGACCGATACATACGTTCTTTTTCTTTGTTTCGTTTGTAGAGGCTGTAGGAGAAATGTAGCTGCTGGTTGATAGTTCCATTGATTTTCTCTTCTTGCTGTCATGGGAATCATTTTGATTCAAGGTAACAGTATGAACAACTGTTGCTGTACTCAAGATGTCAGGATGGAAAGTACTTGAAAGGTTGTTGTGATCATATGTTGCTGTAAATTCAGGTTGTTGGCGGGCCAACAAAGAGTCTGCTGAGAAGTCAGTGATGCTGAAACTCTCCAAGATGCTTGGATTCAGCTCTGGAAGATGCTTGAGCATCTCCATGTTCATGTCCATCATCTCTGTCAAAGGCTGAGAAAGCCTAAACCTCTGCTGATACTCTGCAAACTCAGCCATGAAGCTTAGAGGGCCTTATTTTGCTTACATATATAAGAGTTTTGGAATAGAATTTATAAGATGCCAACATGGTTTATTGTTAGCTTAACAGTTTGTATTATTAGTGCATAATTGTTAGTAACTTGGATCTTGGGCCATTAAAATATGTCATCAATGGAATTGTGTTTTGCTTTACAGCTAAGCAAGTAAAAATTGAAAGCACAGGAGAATTACAAGTGGAAATTTTCATTTTCTGAATCTGGATTTTATTGGTAGGTCCATGCAAAGGATATACACATGTATGTCCAGAAGTGTAGGCCATATATGTTTCTAGAGTGGTCCTTCAATATTAAAAGAAATATGATAGAAGAACAACACTTCTTCTGTTCCTTCGCCAAAAAAGAAAAGAAAAGAAAAGAAAAAAGTTAAAGCAGAAGGTGAACTTCCTTTCTAGCTAGCTTGAGATCAACTTGGGACCCTTCATCATTTACAGAAGAAGTGATATGGGCAATCTTTTGAGCAGCAGATTAGCAGCATACACTATTTCAGCACACAATCCACCACCAGCTCTACTGTGGAATGCTGACAGTAACTTGTTGCAATCAATAATTCCAGAACATAACTCAGCATCAAACAAGTATATGTGCTGGCAAAATCAACAATATATGCTGGCAAAGGAAAATATATTAATGCTGATAGAGTTGCAAGTTTCTGAAAAACCAGACAACCCGGTAACAACAAATAGTGAGCAAACACCACAAGACAGCTGCCTTCCAGATATCACACATAAGCAGTAACAACACTATCCAATGACAATTCTGTCTGCAATAGAACTACTGTATGTTATGCACTAAAATCATGTTTCGTAAAACAATCTTTTGTAGCTAATGATCATAAAACTCAGCAGTGAATATTTGTTTGTTTGTAATCTCTGTAGTCATTTACAACAAACTTCTAATTAATTGATCTGTCACTCGCATGTAACTGTAAGAAACCAAGGATTGCAGAGGCAAGGACTAATGGAAAGGCTAAACAAGCCATATTATATTGTGAGAAAGCTGTGAAGGGTCAAAATTTAATGTGGTAAACGAAGATGTGAAAAGAAAATAGGTCAAATGAGATGCGATTCCAAACGCTTATCAGTAAGTTTTAAAACTGAGGTTTTTTATTAGTTACCTAAGCTTGATAGCAATGGCTGTATTTTCTCCTCTCTTTCTATCCCAAAATGACTGTAAAATCCCTTGCTGTCCTCAACAAATCCTACAGAATGCGGGGCCCTTATGAGATGAAGAAGGAGCAGACACGTCTTTTTCGACAACTCCCTTCTGGTCTGAACATGGAAGTGATTGAGCAAAAGGGTCTTGTTTTCACAGATAAAAAAATAATAGAGACCCAAGAAACAGCGAAAAGAACCCACCTTTGGTTTTTGTTCATGGAATTATCATCTGCTCGGTGCTGGGATGAGCACTGGTTGCCTTTCTTTTCATGGTTCGGCTTTGACTGCTATTCTGTTAGCTTGTTGGGTCAGGTCAGGTCACGTCTCTGTCATTCCCCTCTCTTACCCACGACCGTTTATGTTTCCTGAAGTTTGATTTTTGAAATCTTGGTTTCTTAATTATTGTTATGATTTCAGTATTAAGTGTTCATGTTCTTACAATTTACATTTTCATCTAAAACATGACATCAGAATTTCTTTTTCTAATTTTCTATTCCCAAAGAGTAAGATTGGCTGATCAAACAAGACTATTCAAGTGATAGTTATCTTATTTGAACCCATGAGCAGGTGACGCGCAGCTTTGCATTAAGGCTTTTCAAACAGATCTTTCACTCTGTAAGGAAACATTCATCTCATCAACGATGGAGGATCATCTGGTGAAACGATTAGTTTATGTAGTTCTTCTCCATATCCTTGAAACCTAGTTTACTGTTCATGTTGTTCGAAATGACAAATGGCACTGAGCTATATATATATATATATATATATATCCATGTGGTTTCATGTGTTCATGGCTCTGTTGATTTAAGCATATGTTGCCCTAACAAAAAGGAACCTGCATTTCAAGACATGGTATCAGACCCGGAATTGAACTCCTTTGTGTTCAAAAATACTTCATGCACGACCTCGCTAGAGCAGGAAGCTTACTCTATGTCAAGAATTTCTATTTGTTTTTCAAAACTAAATTACTTAGCCTTAAAGATAATGACTCCCTCCTGGAAGTCCTGTCAGGATGTTCAATATTATACCTTTCACGTGGATATGGTACCAAAAAGTTGGCAAACTCAAAATTCATCCATGGAATTTCTAGTTTTAGAAAGTAGCTGGATTGGAGTAGGAATGTAGTTTTTTTTAAAAAATTATTTTTAATGTTTTTTTTATTATTTTAGTATTTTGATGTTAAACATAATTTTAAAAAATATTATTTTAATATATTTTCAAATAAAAATTTTTTTTTAATTAATATATTTTCAAATAAATTTTTTTTTTTTAAAAAATCCTAATCATACTTCCAAGCAAAACACTAAAGTACCATTTAGAATTTCATTAGTCATGACTATATTTAACATTTTTTTTAGGGCAGTTTATAATTAAAAAAAGTTACATACAATTTTGAAAATTGCCCATCGAAAGCCATGCCCTTAGGTACTAACTTCTAGAGTTTTTTATGCTATACAATTTGTGTTTGATTAGTACAAATATTAAGCAATTAAAAACATATTTTGAACAAAAGAATTACTGGGTTGAAATATCAACATGCCAACCTTGGAAACCCGCCCATTTAAAGTTTATATTTTTATTTAAAGTATGATAAAAATTATTTTTAAGGTTTTTTTATATGAAAGTATATTAAAATAATATTTTTATTATTTTTTATATCAATAGATAAAAACTATAAAAAAATAAAAATGTCAATTTAAAATTAAAAAAATTGATTTTTTTTTAAAAAGTGTGAATAATTCTTGTCTCTTTCAACTACCAATAATTAGTGAAAGAAAGCTCTAGATATTAGAGGGTCTACAGTGAGAATGCTATGCTTTTTAGTTTTATTTATTTATTTTTTTTTGTTAATAATAAATACTAAATTGTAGGTTGAATATGTATTTTTAAACATAGCATTGCTCCGCAGTAAAATTATCTTATCATGTTTACATAATGTTTTTAATTCTACAAAAATTATAGCCAATGTGTTGCAAATAATAATTTTTTCCCAAGCTAGGCCAACATTTTTCCCAACAAAATAAAAAGAAAGAATAAGCAGAGATTAAATATTTGAATTAATAAAAAAATTAAGAAAATATTGAAAATAAAAAAAATATATTATTATTAAACTTGATTTATCCCGATAAATCAACCAGGATCTTAATTAAACTATTATATATAATTCAATATAAATTTCAAGAAAAACTAATATACAATAATAGAAAAGTAACAATGGGCATTGCCGTATGACTTTGCCGGCCCAAATTAAAAATAAGAAGCCATGTAAAATTCCCTCAACGAATCCTAACCGTTCAAAGCATAGCCAAACTAAAACCCTAGATCTCCGTCTTATTAAACCCAAAAGAAAGCCACTTCCTTTCATCACTGTCGTCGTCTCTTAGCAGCAGCATCGGCAGCAACCAGGGTGCCTTCTACTTGGTAAACCTCAAAAACACTAATGGGTTCTCTTTAAATTCCCTTCCTATTAAATGCCAAGCCTTCTAATCGGAGACTTTACTTGCTATGTATTTGCTTGCTGTGACTATTTTAGCTTCTAGATCATATGGGCTGTTTTTTTATTCTTGTTCATCAACTGCTTTCTCGTTAAAGATTGAATATTGACATCTGTTTTGATATATGGCTCCTTTTGTCTCCAAAAGGAACTGGGTTGTTTTCATTTTCTCTTAATTGGCTCTTATTTGAGAGCTTAAAGCTGCTGTCTCGTGTGTGCTTTTGTGGTCATCTACTGTGTACAAACCCTAGATTAGGCTGATTCATAAACCTTGCCATTTGCGTTTGTGTGTGCTTAGATTTGATGCAATGTCATCGTTATTTTTATAAATTTAACGAAGATAAAATGTGAGTGGGCTGTTAGGATGATGAAAAACAGAAGTCATTTTTCTGCAGCGAATGACTTGTATTGATCGAGTTTGGAATTATGATATAAAAAATACAAATTTGGAGTTTGGTCTCTCCTTTGTCATTATACCACTTGCGGGATTCATCATTCATGGAAAGTTTTGTTCTCCAACTTGTAGTTTATTTATGGAAAAAATGTAGAAGGAAACTTCTAGTGGATGTAGGATTCGAAATTAGGTCCCATTAGGTAGACAACTCAAAAGAATGTGCAGATGTCTATTGTGATGAGTTTGACTTGACAATTCTTGTTCGTTATTGAATATAATCTCATGCCGTTACTATTTAGATCTGTGAAGATGTTCACCACAAGGAAGAAGATCCAAAAGGACAAGGATGCTGAACCCACTGAGTTTGAGGAGACAGTTGCCCAGGTTAGATCCTTAGGTTTCTATTCAAGTACTTTGGATTCTTGGGTTAACTGAGTTGTCTATGATGTATTCTATATGTTTTTCCTCTGCAGGCGTTATTTGATTTGGAAAATAGCAATTCAGACCTGAAAAGTGAGCTAAAAGATCTCTTCATAAATTCTGCAGTGTACGTAAATAATTGTATGCTTGCTTGTTCCTAGTGAAACTTTTCTTTCTTTTTCTTTCAATATTATATTTTCCTTCTGGTGCCAGTATATTTTCTAATCTAAACTGCGTGAATTTTGCAGTCAAATAGATGTTGCTGGAAATCGTAAAGCTATTGTCATTTATGTTCCCTATAGACTGAGGAAGTCTTATCGCAAGGTTCATCTTCGCCTTGTTAGAGAGCTGGAGAAAAAGTTCAGTGGGAAGGTAACATTATCTTGTACTTTTTCTACATCCGTAATGGAGGGCAGTATAAAGTCTTGAGGTTCCAACCTCAAGGCTGCAGGCTTAAGTCCCTATAAGAAGGTTGCTCAGCATTTATGGTTCCTAATCATGATGAGTATATAAAGTCAATCCCAGTTTCAGCTCAATACTTGTTTGAATCTGAATTCCGAGCTATGTTTCAATTGCTCCTCTGATAATTTGGCAGGATGTTGTTCTGCTTGCTACCCGAAGGATCGTTCGTCCACCCAAGAAAGGTTCTGCTGTTCAGCGCCCCCGTTCCCGCACCCTAACTGCCGTGCATGAAGCCATGCTTGAGGATTTAGTGTATCCTGCTGAGATTGTTGGAAAACGCACCAGATACAGGATTGATGGGTCCAAAATTAGCAAGGTAGTCCTGACAATTTAAGTCAAAGGAACAGAAAACTGTAGCTGGTATTGTAATCTCAATAACCATAACCTCTGCCCTTCTCATGAAAACTCTTTTTATATTCTTGTTTGTGTCAGATCTTCTTGGATCCCAAGGAGCGCAACAACACTGAGTACAAGCTGGAGTCATATGCTGGAGTTTACAGGAAGCTTACAGGAAAAGATGTGGTGTTTGATTTCCCCGTAACAGAGGCCTGAAGTTGATTATTTGTACTTCTTTTTTATTCAAGAGTTCTATAATTGCAGCAGATAGGATCCTACTTAAAATTTTGACTCTTGAATTTGGTTGAATGTCATTTTGAATAGGATAAAACTTTCTTCGATGTTTCTTTTACTATGCACTTGAATATGGTTGAATGTCTTATGGATTTTTTATCAAAAAATTCCTGCGGATTGTTGGTTGTGGAAAATGTCACTTCCTTAGAAGTTTGGTTGTAGGTGATTTTGCGTGCTGTTCTTGCATCCATTGCAGTCTGGCTTAACAGTTGTTAGTGTTTGGGGTATTAATGGATGCATGAGATGCCCCTTTCCTCTTGCATGTATGCCTGTTTAACCGAGGCCTATGGCTAGAGGAATGATCGAGCATGTTGTGATTGTGTTTGGTGGGATTTTTGGCATCCTGGTGGAGCCCTCGTTAACAAATATGGCGAGACCCTTGTTTACGACTCCAACTCAATGGGTTTGAATATTGGACTTGGCCTGCAGACAGATCTGGAAGTCTTGTCCAAATTCAAGCGTCTTTATGTGGTGGTTCTTCTATCTACCCTAGTCCCAATGCTGCTGATTCTATGTGGTGTGCATCCTCGAGTGGCATGTTTTCTATTAAAAGCACCTGAGGCTATCAAACTAGTTTGCGGATCCTTTAAGATTCTAAGACAATGCTTTTTCTCATGGCCTCTGTATTTGATAGATTGGCTACAAGGCAAAGGCAGCTTAGATGGGCAAGATCGGGTGATGATAAGTGTCTCTTTTGTAACAGTTCTTCAGAATGTAGAGATCACTTCTTTTTTCTTGTCCTGTTACGATGAGTGTATGGTAGGGCATTCTCAATAGTGCAAAGACAGGTGGGAAATTGGCCGTTAGAGTTTCAGTGGGCAGAAGCAAGTTTGGAAAAGAAATCCTTCAAGCCTGTATCATTCCGAGGTCGGCACGGTACTCATATATTTAATATTTATGGGCCGAAAGAAGTAGAAGAATCCACAAAAACTCTTATGAAATAGCAGAGAAAAAAATTAAAAAATTAATTAAACAAAGAAAACTAGAAAAAAATATTAAAAAAATTGATTAAAATTTTAAAAAAACCAACCGGTTCGATTCGGTTTTATAAATTTGAAATTGAAAAAACCAAACCCAAATCAAAAATAAAAAAAAAACAAGCTAAAATTAATTCAAACTAAAAAAACCGAGTCAAATTGGATCCTGTTTTTGAAAAACAAACTGAACTAAAACTAATAGGTTTGAACTAATTTTAGTTTGATTTTAATTATTTTAAAAAATTTCTATTTAATTATATTTTTTAATAAAAAACCAAACCAAAAATAATCATCCGATACCTATCTATTGTTAATCAATTTGGAGTGTTATCAGTTCACGCCATGCAGATAAAAGATAAAAGCTTGTACATTTGTGATGGTTGGCACTTGCAATGGAGATGGTTGGTTTTGTTTTTTCAACACGAGTTGATGCTTTTAAAAAAAAAAAAGCAGAGATTAAGAAATAATGTTTGAAATTTAATAGAAATTATTTTTTAAAATACTTTTTACTTTGAAATATATTAAAATAATATATTTTAAAATTTAAAATTTATTTTCAATAGCAAGACATAAAAACAGTTCAAAAGTATATATATACAAACTAATTTAAAATAAAAAAATTCAAAAAAACAAATTCAAAAAAAACACTGGAGAGCCAATTTTTCATCCATCAACAATGGCACATGTCCGCTTATGTGAATTGCCAAACCAAAAACAATTGTTTATATTATTTTGTTCACACACATATTGTTAAATTATATTTATGCCACAAATAATTTTAAAAAATTGTTTAAATTGAAAAGAATTCATAATAATATAAGGTTAAGTGAAATGTTTTAGTAACTATTATTTTTATGAGAAGGATCGCCCTCCCAATTCTTTTTTTTTTCTCAGGAGTTGTGAGCTATTATGTATTTAAACTGTTAATTATTTTGACTATCTAAACTCTAATAGGCTTAAAAACAAGTAAATAGAAAGCATGAAATACTAAAATCTAAAATATATAAAATACTTTTTTATATTCATGTATGCATTGTAAATTTATATTAAAGTCATATATAATAGAAAATGATTATTTAAATTAATAATGATCAATACATGTCTTAAGTGTTATTAAAGTCTAGTTAAAGATTATTTTATACGGTTCAAGAATTAACCCAATTAATCTAATCATAATTATCAAAATTTATATAGAATTATTTAAAAATCAAACATGTTTATTTAATAAACATTCAAATTTGGTAATGAATATTTTTCATAGAAGTTATATTGTATATTTTCAACAGCATTGCATAACAAAAATAAACATTTGATCTAGTTCTTCTTTCATAAATTACATATTTATTCACGAAATAAATCAAACAAAAAACTCACTTTAAATTAGAATTAATAGACTCCTTCTACTTGAGAATGTGACCAGTACAAATTTTAATTAAAAAAATTATATTTGAAAAATACACTTTTACGTAGTTTGTTGAATTTTAGAATTTAGATTTAAAAAAAAAAAACATTTCTTTGATCCTATATATACACACACACACACACAACCCACATCTTTGATCCTATATATACACACACACACAACCCACGTCAAGGTTAACTCTCTTGAGATTATTCTTTTATAATTTTTAAAATATTCTTTTATACAATCAAAACAATGCATTTTTTTTTTATCATTTTCTTGTTGTACAATCTAAAATAAAAGTGATTTTTTATTAACAGAAAAAACAAGTTATGCTTCTTACCAACTAAGTAAGAGGGCACACTATTGCAACAATCTAAAATAAAAGTGACATTTTACTAGCAGAAAAAAAAAAGTTATGTTTTCTACGAATTAAGAGTGTATTTGGCAGTGTGGTAGCGTTTGCTTTTCAAATAACTTTTTGTGTCGAAATTTTCACATGTCAATAATGTTTTTTTATTTTTTAACATCAGCACATCAAAACGATCCAAAACATACAAATCATATTAAATTTTTTTAAAAAAAACAAATTGAATTTTTTAGAAACGCAGGTTAAACCGCGTTCCCAAACAACCCCTAAGAGGATACACTATATGACCCTACTAGCTATCCTAACATCTAATCTTCATCTTTAAAATTGTAAGTCAAGAAACAATTATTTTTAAAGGGCTTTAATGGCCAAGAGAACAAGTAGAGAGAAATAAAATACTCTTATTTGTATATTAACACTTATCTCTCAAAAACACTATAGAAAATAAAAGATTTATCTCTTTATTTAGAATATCTTTCTATAATTCATTGAGAACACTCATCTCTCAAAAACATTATAGAAGACAAAATACTTATCTCTCTATTTAGAATACCTCTCTATAACTAATAGAAAACAATTAGGCCATGTTTGTTTTACGGAAAGTAGTTTTTGGAAAACTATTTTCCAAACTTTCCTGTGTTTGTTTACCATTAGAAAATGTTTTTCTGTGTTTGTTTACCATTAGAAAAGGTAGTCAACAAAAAACACTTTCCAGTCAAAAAAAAAATTTGACTTGGTTTCTAGGAAAATATTTTCCCTTTCAGCTCTATTTGTTTTCCGAAAAATGATTTTTGGGAATTTCCATAACATAACCAAACACTGAAAAACATTTTTTAACTTATTTTACATTATACTATCAAACATCAGAAATACTTTCTTGGAATTCATTTTCGTGGAATTCACTTTGTCTGAAATTCAATTTTAAAAAAAAAATAAATTATTTTCAAGCAAACAAACGGGCCTTATCTCATCTCTACACTAACACTCATTTATACACTCCACGCAACAAGACATCCAACTTTTGATTACTATATATATTTTAATTTTAATATTTATTTTTTTAATTTCATCTCTTAAAATTTAATTTTTATATTAACTTTGATCCTTAT